GTGAAGACAACTATTTACCGTAAACTAATTTTTCATCCCGAACTAAAAATCATCACTTCGAAAGCTTTAACCTTGTAGTAGTTTAATCAAATTCTGACTATTGTACGGAATTATCTTGGCTTAAGCATTTCACAATGTTTCATTTATTCCGAAACTATACTTTTCAGGTCAGGTAGTTGCTTTTAGTGTTACCGAGTTCTTTGACCAAAACTGTTTATGATCATTCTGGGAACATCTTTATAATTTCTAAAAGTGGAATACATCAGGAAATTACTTCCACACAAAGTGAATGCCAATGGTATTGTCTAGAATGACAGAGGTAGTTTCTCGATCAAATAACCTGGCTCGAAGGACTCAGAAACATGCTTCAACTTACCGTAACTGATGAATAAAACAAAAAAACATATTTTTAGATTGTTTAACTGATAATGTTTAACAATAGACACACAACGGTGTTCTTAAACACAGTTGATCACTTTTAAAGTGACTAAATAAATCTATTCACAGGTTGAAACACATCGATTATGGTCATCATGCAATATCCTTATGGTGTGAACTAATTCATTACTTTATGAGACTGGATGCATAACTGGATACATTATTCAAATATTTTCGAGATTATTGTTCCATCTTTTTATTAATCAGTTTATTCTGAAATATGTACAAATAGTAAGTGATAACTTGAACCAATAAAGATATTAATGCAAGTTCTACACTATTTCTGATAGACTAAATGATTTAGTACATGATTTCAGTGTTTTTTAAAAAAAGATAATCAAATCAGTAATATAAATCGTACAAATTTTCATGCAGGTTGTCCCCATGAAATAGACGTTTACCTGCTCTTGTGGAGCTAGGTATATAGGTCGTTCGATGCGTACTTTATCCAAAAGAATTCAAGAACATTATCCGGCGTGGCTAAAAACAGGATGCAACGGCTCAATAAGAAGTTCTATAATCGAACATTTTGTGAAAACAGGTCATTCAATCAAGACAGATTCTGCGTTCAAAGTCATCTACAAGGTTAGTAGAAATCTTCCTAAGATAATTAGACTGCATCTACTTTGCATTGCCGAAGCGATAGCCATACATCTGGAAAAACCAGAATTGTGTGTGCAAAAGAGACTGGTACAACCTCTTCTTCTACCATGGTCTTAATACATTAAAATTTTTCTCTCTTTTTCATACTCTTATTTCTTTACAGCCATCTGCTTCACCTTCCATCTTCCCTTTAAATCTTCTACCCCCAACTGGTTTGTCTTTATTTCTACGATCATCCCGATTACATTTCAGCTCTCTTTCAACATTTTATTTTATCATACTGAGCCATCCTTTCCCAATGATAATTTTCCTATCTATCTTTCGATAAATAATTAAGCCAGTAACAATCAAACGATTATTAAACTTTCCTTTGTTTATTTAACCTCACTGTCACTATGTATAACAAGTTTATTATCAGTATTATTATCATCCTGTAAAAATAAGTATATATATTTGCGATTATACAGCTCTGAAAATGAATTCCCCGAAAAGAAAACTGTTCGCTGAACTAATCTTTCTTATTTAATGTCCTAAGGGTCTATTCCGTTTAATTATTTACCAAAGTAGAGTTTACAAGTCACTCAGTTGATTACTCGGAAGTTTTTTTTCATAAATTAATAGTTTTTATACACCCTCAACCACAGGCTAGAATATTAGTTGTTCAACAGTTTCATAAAAAATTAAGGAATTATATAATTTAATAGTTGAATTCATGAGTCAATTAAAGCTAGACCACCATGGAAAACCTGGAAGCACTGGACGGGAATTATATAACTTATTAATGAAGTGTATTCAATTTACTTCAAGTGAAATTTATGCAGATAAATGATGAAAGGGTAGTTTCTTCAAATAAAATTGAAAATTTACGGTTTGAGACTAATTATTCTTCATAGATTATTATCAAATATATTGTATTGCGATTTTAAGATAGTAATGATGTAAACAATATAGTCCATAGAGTAATGGCAACCGGATACATTTATGTTTGAGACTTTGAACGAAATAATGAAAGTAAATCTGTTTATCTATTTTAGTTAAAAATGGTTAAATAATCCAAGATTCATCTCTGTTGGGGACGTTAGATCCCCAAAACTCATGTTTTGTAATTTTATCTTTGTGGAGCTTGTATTCAGATGTATGCTTGGGCATTTCTTACCACCCACACACATAATCAATTGACGAACTTATCGATTAAATGTTTAAAAACTTCCATGGCGAAATCGATTATATATATTTCGTTTAAATACGCTTGATTTGTGTGCTTGATGGACCTGGTATCTTCTGGTTGTCTGTAGAATACACTTTTAACATTTTGCCAAGACTTCTGGATCGAGTTAGCTGAGTCGGGGACAACGGACTAGTATAGCTTATCGAGTCTCTGAATCCTTGATTCTTCGTTCCGTTCCGAGTAAGATGAATCAGTAGTAGCATTCAAGTTAACAAACGTAACACTCTATTACTAGTTACTAAAAAAAATAATGACATTTGTCATTAGAATAAGTTAGATAGTGAGTAAGAAGTACGTTCAATATAATCAAAATATAAGCAAAATCGAAGACATGCTTTGCTATATACGAAATTATTTAAACAGAACAACAAAAATGTCCTGAATGAACCTAGAAAGTGAAATGTCATTTCGTTATACTCAATCGATCATTATTCTATGACCTATTCTGAAGAAAAACAACCAGACAAATATTAACGTATTCAAGAATAGAATTCCTAATTTCTGTTCCCTCAAGTGTTTTAGAACCACAACGGAATGCTTTTTCGTATTCAAGTTGATTTTAAGGTTATTTATAAAATATTGAAATGTTATTGAGACATTTTGAACAACAACTAAATTTGAATGTAGATATACTTCTCAATCATCTCATCATTAAGATCAAAGATGTTAATTCACCCATTAATCGTCATGTCAAATTGTAAGTCTTTAATATACAATTGTTATTCTATGATTATGTTATCATTAGTTCAATCTTCTTGTTACAAATCAATTCGTGTTATATGTAGATAAATACCTGAAGAAATATAGAAACCCGGAAGTGAGTTCTGTAAATCCCACTTATCAATCGTTTTACCATTCACTTATGCCATTTTATCTAAGATGATTCAAGTGTTTAACTGATTGTCCAGAGCCAAACAAATATTTATCCTATTGTATATCTTCGGAAACATAATGAACACTATTAGTTAAAATGAAGGGTAACCAATTAGTAAAGAAATATACCAGGTCAACACAGAGTAGTGATAAAACTTTGTAATTTGATCATTATGTAATGATATGTTTGATTTTAATTTGAATCAATGAGGATTAACTCATAACACACAGTTTTACCTTTGAATTATATAACCCATTTAATTCTACTCGTTTATTATCTATCTTTATTAATGGATTTTTCTGATAATTTCTCTTTTAGAACATAATATTTAATTATTTAAGGATGAGACTGTATTTCATGGACGACTTTTGAGCGACGCTAAAGTGACCTTAAAAATGTACATTAACTAACTAGGACTAAATAAGGGTAATAAAGTAGTGTGAGGAACTAGAATTATGATTTACAGTTAATGGTTGAGGTTAGGAAGTAGATTTAGGGTTATAATCATGAACTAATATCAGCTAAAATGCTAAAACGCTATTTAGATAAATAAATGAATGAATTTCGCACCAAAATCCGAAAACTTGTTATGTAATGTCTGATTAGTTTGCACGTAAATTCTAATCTTGCCGTTTATGAAAATCAGAAAAAAATTTGTTGTTTCATCTAAATTACTATTATTTTTGTTAATCCTAGTCTGATGAACAAACAATGATCTCTAGAGTCTAATAAAACATCATTGAGTACTAGTTAATCGATTGACAGAATGACGAAATATCAGAATATATTCGTTTAAGGAGTTTATAGGATTTTTTTAATTTTATAGTTTACAACAAGAACTGACTTAGAAGCACTGTGAAGCTGTTTCATCCCGGTACATAAGATTCCTGAATTGTACATTCATGAAAGTTCGGTGGATTGTACATCCCGGCTTCGTGATCAGCGCTTGACCTTCAAACACTTGTTCATCATTCCGTTTTTCACGTTTTTTATTTCAATCAGTCCATAGTGTTGCGCAACTATATTTCAGGTTCAGAGATTCTTGCATCTATTACTTTCCAATAAGAGACAGTTAGTCATAAACAATTAATTAAGTTAATTTTAATTATTGTCAGAATAGGCGTTTATGGAGATTGGATTTCGGCTCAATAGTCTAGAGAATAAGCATTCACACGTGATACCGAAGGTCCTAGACTTCAGTCCCACATGAAGAATCGTGAATGTGCACATCTGAGGAGTCTCATAATAGCTTAAACCGGCCATTCTATACTCTCGGGTTTCCATTGATGATGTGATACAAATGTCGAAACAGTTGTACTGTATGGGGCGGAAACCTGGAGAAATACGAAAGCCATCATTCAAAAGATACAAGTGTTTATTAACAGTTGTCTACGCAAAATACTTCAGATCCATTGGCCGGACACAATTAGCAACAACCAACTGTGGGGAAGAACAAACCAGATCTTAACGGAGGAAGAAATTAGGAAGAAGCGCTGGAAGTGGATAGGACACACATTGAAGAAAGCACCCAACTGCGTCACAAGACAAGCCTTCACATGGAATCCTGAAGGCCAAAGGAAAAGAGGAAGACCAAAGAACACATTACGCCGGTAAATGGAGACAGACATGAGGAAAATGAACAAGAATTAGATGGAACTAGAAAAGAAGACCCAGGACAGAGTGGGTTGGAGAATGCTGGTCTGCGGCCTATGCTCCATTAGGAGTAACAGGCGTAAGTAAGTAAGTAATGATGATGTAGCTTAGATAGATACGTGAATGCATTTTTGAGAATACTTAAATTTGCACAAATTTCCAAAATCGATATTTAGTAACTAGAGCAAAGAAAACAAATTTTTTCATAAATAAATTTAGTTTATTTATTCATTGGTTTATTTGTTGAATATGAATTATGAAATTGTTATTTGATTGTTTTATACACAAAAATATTATTACAAATCACTTAGTGATTAAGTGAAAAATAGGAAGCTAATTTGAATTCATAAACCATAAATTAAATTTCATTACTGACAGTTATCGTTAGGTAGTATTATTGAATATTTTCCAAAAAAAAATATTACATATGATTATTACGTAACTGTATCATATAAAAACAGATACTGAATACCATAGCAATAATAATAGTTTGTTTAAATCACATCATCGTCATCATTGGAACATGATGATGAATTTTCTGGTTGATTCAATGTTGATTTTTCATTTATTACATCATCATATTGTATTGGATGATAATCTGTTTTTGGTGTATAATTGTAATATTGAGGAAATAAGGAGGAAGAAAAAGAAGAATCAGTTAGTTTATGTTGTAGATCATGAAAGTCAGCAGAAGGTAAAGATGAAATATTTGATGATAATTCATATGGTCTTGTGTAAATAACATTTGTACAAGTAGTATTTGTAGTAGTGATTGTATTTGTTGTAGTAGTATTACATTCAAATATAGTAGGATTATTATTAAAATTTATTACAGTTGCATGAATTTGTCTTTTAGGTCTTTTTATTTGTGTTGTAATAGTATGCGGTATACAATGTCTTTTTAATTGTGGTGTAAGAAAATGCATAGAAGATTTCTTTAATTTAAAATCATTAAAATGTGAAGTGGATGCAAAATGTGAAGGTTGATCAATACCTATATTTGTACTTTTAATAATTGATTCTTCATTTATTTGGTGACTGTACAACTTATCAGCATACTTTGCCTCCCAGTCATAATTTGTCGGTGGAGGCACCGGCTGAAAATGCATGTTGGATGTGAATTCATATGGAAATATTTCTAAGCTTTCATCAGTGTCAAACGATCTATGAGCTTTGAGATTTGATATGTGTGAACATGATGGGGGTGGGATAGGATAAAATATTGAACTACAGGGATTCGGATAAAGATTAGATCTATTTGTAATTGATGGAGTTTCATAACCATATGGTTGCCGCCTTAACAACTGTTGACAAGGAGAATACTTTGAAGTATATTCGACACTAGGACTTCGTGTTAAATGTGGCATATTTCTTAATCCCCATAATGGTTCACCTCGAATGTCTCTGTGTTTTGTGAAAATTGGAATTGAATGTTGATGAGGAAGCTGTAAAGGACGTTTCTGTCCGGCTGTTTTGGTATCCGTATATGATGGGTTGTAAAATTCAGGAGGATTCATATCACGTAACTGATAGTACGGTGTTTCACTTTCATCCTTGACAAAATCTACGTTATATTTAGGAGTCACGTTTTCTGAACTCTGATGCTCATCAGTTATAATGTCATCAGTTCTTCTCATATCACTACTTGGAGACAAATGAATACTATACTCTCTGCTCGACATTAACGGCTTTTGAGAAAATGCTTTTACATGTGAAATCCCATATGGTACGTATTTTATTTCATCAGTATTATAAAGTTCATCAATATTTCTACGCACCAGTTGAGGATGATCTGATTTGTCAAAATACTGATCATGTTGATCTGAAAGATGAATGATTAATTCAAAAAATGTAATCATATCATTAGGTGTACAAATAAAATTACATTTTAAAAAATACTAAATTATGATAAGGAATATTAAAATTCCGGCGAGACTATAATTTATGGACAAACCAATCACATATAAGATAAAAGGTCTCGGAATTTGGCGTGAAATTCACTCATCCACTTGGCTAAATAAGATTTTGGCATTATAGCTGGTGTCAGTTCGTGATGAAAACTGTAAATCTAATTTCTAATCTTAACCATCAACTGTAAATCCTAACTTGAATTCCTCACATTAATTTATAACCCTCATTTGGACCTAGTTACTAGGTGGACATTCTCAAGGTCACTTTAACATCGCTCAATGGTCGTCCATAAATTATAGTCTCATCAAAATTCCATTACCGGATTGAATATACAAATGAATTATATAACTGTTAAGTTTTTATAAATGAGTTCCAAAAATTGTAATTTACAATCAATTAAATCTTGTTTCACAATTTATATCTCCATGTCTGTATAAAGTAAATAATAAAATGACATTGAATATCCTTAATTATTAACATTAATATTACATTGCTTGATTGACACTAAATATTCACAAAAAGAATTAATCAAGGAATTTAAATGTACACTTTAGAGATCCTTATTTCTTGAACTTTGGAAGTAGGATCATATAAACCTGAAGGGATATTGGGCAACAGAAAGCTACAGTTGTAAATCTGGTGTGTGTATTCATAATTGCTAATGGGTCATAAACACTATGCAATATTTTGTGTTTCTTTTATCATTTACCGAATTCCATTATAGACTTTGTATGTTGACAATATAATAAATCAGTTCATGATAATAATTAATAATCAGCTTAACATCTAACAGACTTTGATTTATTGCTTCTTTATGCGGTTGAGTTTACCGTCATAATTACAAATATTGATTTAATAAGGAGGTTCATAGAGCTACATATTTATATATGTTTATTTGTACAAGTAATAATCCATTACCTAGATTTCCGTTTGTAATGATACATATTGCCTTACGTTTTAACTAAGAGCTTCAAAAATTCACTCATAAGCACGAACTTAAATCCCTGATCTTTTGTTGAATATAATCTTGGAAAAACTTTAAACTATATACATTCCCTGGAATTCCTGTCAGATCAGTTCTTAACATGTACGGATATTCTTACCCCTCTACAGCAAACTGGTTTAGATGCATTCTCTACCTGACACCTATAAATTTATTGATTAGATAAACAGGAAGAATGTAGATGACAAACTTACGCTTCACTTGAAGTCGAATTACTATTTACTAATGTTTTATTCACATAGATCATTTTGCTTCATATGCAAGTAGATCATATTGTAAATATGGAAATACTGAGATTCTATTTAAAGGAACTATTACTATGATTTACTTTTAATGCACAATTTACATTTCATGACATAATCTATCGACAAATGTAGGAACCCGTTTCAGCCAGTAATTGACATATTGTTTCTTATTCAGTTTGGGAACTACTCAAATATTTTCAACTGTATGTATTTGAAATTTTAACAGTTATGACGATAAATCTGGTCTGAATCACACACTATAGAAATTTGACAACAACCATTCGAGAATCAAATTCATAATTGAAAAATTATCTACTTTCTTGATGATAAAATAATAATAAAGTTTAATAGAACCCTCAGGAATTCTACTTCCAAATAACCGTTGTGGAATGACAAGCCAGCTAGTTTTAAAAAAGGTTCTCTATCAGTACAATTAGAAATTTAATCATGTTCTTCGCTATATAAATATGAAAAATTTGAAATCTGTATGCAATGGAAAAAAGCTTATCAAAAATGTGTATCCACTGTGATTTATCGACAAGAATGTAAAATTCGAGCCACCAAAAGTACAAATAATCTCTGCATAGAAGAGGATCCCCTAAATGAACATTGAATTCAAAGAGGATAAATTTATAGACACCTGGTAGGGAAAAATTTCTGATTCATTTAAAATAATGTTCTTTGTAGCAATCTAATGATTAGTGTTCTCTAGGTGACCAATGTTGAGGAACAATCTAAAGAAATAGATTTGCGTCTAACAACCTATATGTACATATATCTGTTTATCTACTCTTGTGGAGATAAGCAGATGATGAGAACCTAATGAATTAAAATGAATTCATATTATACTGCACTAATCTTCGTTCTTGCTGTATTTATGTAAAGGATTTGTTAACAAGAAATTAATCATGTGTTGATCGATAGTGTTCCTTATTTATACATTCATGATTTAATTCATGATCAAATAATGAATGATTACTGTCTAAAGTAAGTGTTACTATGCGTCATCCAAACTTTAGTCAGTCAATAACATTGGCATTCAATACTTATATATATGGAATATCCCAATAAGTAGAAAAACTAGATTTTCTGATGTTTCGTGACTCAATGTAGACAACTTCTTCAGGGGAATAATTCTGATTTAGTTATTCATTCTCTGAAGTGGCTTGCATTGAGTCACGAAACATTAGGAAATCTAGTTTTTCTACTCATTGAGATATTACAAATATATTTTTTAAGATTAAAAATTGAAAAATATCCTGTTAAGTGAACTAATTAGAAATTTTTTAAAACTTAAGTGTGTAGGTGGAGTGAAAATTGTTTCAATGAAGCGTGAGTACCATGGAGATGCTTCGCTTAATATATAAACATTTATTTTTAGGTTTATATTAAGTTTTTACATCTAATATGTGGATTAGACATACACAAAAAACACATTTGTAATGAAGTAAATATTTAGAATTTCATAGGATTTATGCTTATGACTGTGTATATTACATTCATTCATAAGCTAAAAATATACTACTAAACCTAAATGACATTGCGGTGTGCATTACTTATATCCACACAAGTAGTAAATAACGGTGGTCAGGCATAGAATGTATTTCAGTAGAAGGCCGATATGGAAATAATGGGAACGGAACGCAATTGGTATGAGAACGCATGAACAATGAAATCTGAGACAAAGGATTGATTTTTGCGACAGGAACAGTCAAGTTTGATATGATGGATTGACATTTTGCAAATTAACGATTTACTATATGGTTCTCAGATTTTAGTGAGATGCTCTGTAATTTCGTGTCAAATACATTCCATTGTCCCCCCACTCATGTTCTGTTCACTACAACATTACTTTTTAAAAAAATATATTCAACTTAAAATTGGTGAAGATTGTCATTGAAATTTACCTTCATAATAACCTCCTGATGAACTAGTCACTGGTAGACGACCCTGGTATTTGATTTTTGAAAGTTCTTCGTTACTTTCACTTATTTTGTCAGTTTCTTCAAAGTCTTCAGGTATTTCATGATAAGTATTATCTCTTAAATACGTAGAATGACGTTGATAACATCTTGAATTACGACCAGAATATGCTTGTTCTCTTTTATTTCTAACACAATAAGTCGGATGTTTTTGATATTGCTCAGTTGTTGTTTTATTTTCATCATGAATAAGATATTGTGATTTATTACTAGATATTGTTTGATCAATTTCATTCATTCTAGATTGTTTTTTGAATTGGCTACTGGCTAGATACATAGGTTGTTCTGTGAATTCTGATCCTCGTGGAGTAAGAAGACGACTAGGATCATTGTGATATGAAGTCTTTAAAAATAATCAAATAATCAACATTTGAATTCATATCGAGGAGTTTAATTATAACAGTAAACAATAAAACAGATACAAAGAAGCACATTTTATCATTATGTTTGTGAGTTTAAATTTGGGAAAATGAATTTAGTATATAAAATTAAGTAGTTTCTTTCTCTTACCATCTCATTTTAAGAGTTTCAAACCATTTAACTGTCATTTTGGTTCGGTTCGGTGTTGTATCATGATACTTCATGTTTTGAACGTTTTCCCTGAATTAATTTGACTTAATCTTTAATAAGGAATTATTTAGATCAAGATTTGATTCAAAACTTAAATTTGTACCGACGGATTGTGATAAATACTTGTTAATATTCAACTTCTAGTATTTTCAGCAAAGTCTGCAATGTAGTGACTGAAATTGTTTAATTTGAATATTTGTGTTTAATTCCAGCTAACGCATTGAATATCACATTCAACATAATAATCACGATCATTACTACAACTCTTTACTTAGTAAACTTTATTTATAATTAGTAGTATCTGTACTATAGAAAAACATAATGAAATGAATTCTTACCGTTTAAAAAACATTTTTGAAACTATGAAATAATTCCTGACGTTTGCAATGATAAATCTATATTTAATTCTAGTTCACTTGGTATTGTTTACTTGAATCTTCCCATTGATTAAACTTCAGGTGGTTATCAGGACTCGGTAGCTAAGTGGGTAACGCAATGGCGTTCGAAACGAACGGTATTGGATTCTAGTCTCGGAGTGAAGATCAACTGTGGGGTACATTCATCTGGTGAGTCATGAATAGAGTGAAACGCGCGTCTTGAATGTCACTGTTGGCCACCACCATCTGCACCCTAATGTTTATGTTTAGACACTTTAAATTGTTTTCTATAATTTTAGAGCTGACTTGATATCCACTAAATTACTTGTTATTTTGGATGACTGTCCTATTCTGATATACGCGTGTCTAATATAATTGTGCATCTCGCTACTTGAATGATAAGACTGAAGTTGAGAGTAAGCTGTATTAGTGAACATTGGGATGCAGGTCCATCTAGATGACGAGTCCCAAATAGAACGAAATGAGCATCTTGGGTTCTACTGCTAGCCACTACCCATCTTTACACTCAGCTTATTTTAAAAAATGAAATTACTAATAATGAGCTAGGTATTACTTAATTTAATGAGAAATCTGCTATTACAGACTCGATCAGTATTTTCTATTTTCCTGACAGTATTTTCTTTAATGATAATTAGTTAAAATAAGGGTGTCTATAAAATAAAATAAAAAAACTTACTGAGTTTCTATTTTTTCTTGGATTCTTATTTTCAGATGTTGCTTTGTCCGAGAATTCACTGAGTTCGGGGCTATACAAAATCAATTAAGCAACAAAATAATTGCAAAATATAACTCAACTTCTCTATAAAAGTATACTAATGTCCTATATAGTTTAGTTTCTATTACAAGCGTATTGTTATTAGGTTTTGTGAAGTTTGTAAAATTTATTTAACACACACCATATCATAAACGTCATCAAAATTGTTTTATTCCCAGTGTGCTACTTTATTCAATAATACATTACTGTGGTGTGATGTTCATTCAAATTATGATATTCTTTATAAGCAGAGATGATTATGGCTAGCAGCTGAATGTACTTATGCTGATGAGCGGCCTATGCTCCTTCACGAGGAGTAACAGGCGTAAGTAAGTAAGTAAGCTGAATGTACTTGCATCACAGAACGGATGTTCACTCCGAGTCCCAGAAAGAACATAAATTCTGGGATGCAGGTAAATTCAGCTGACGAGTCCAAAATATGACGAAACGCGCGTCCTTGATTTGAATGCTAGCCACCGTCATCTCTACTCATAATGCTTGTAACTTGAAATAGTATCGAGGTAATCTGCACAGAATGCACATATGCCATTAAGAGATTGATCAACTGTAATCCTAAACGCCAATGGGAATATTCAAACAACCAATACAAAAATGTCTGATATTACTTGTGTTGAATTACAGTGAACGATGTCAAACGTGACATATACCTAGCGATTTTATTATAATTTCGTAAATGTAACTTTCTTAATTAATAGTCTAATGAGTGCACGAATCAGTATATAAAGTAGTGTATTTTCGACTAGGATCGTCGTATTTTCTTGGGGTAAGCAAATTTTGACTTGTATCAGTTTTTTCGTTCATGCTTCGCGTCATGGGAATTTCAGTGTTTACACGTTTTCATGTATAATTGATAAGCAACGCAGATATAACAAGAAGTTTTTATTTAATTTAACAAAAATCAAACGAACTTAGAATGAATCCTATATTTCCTCGTTACGGTCATTTCTTAGGAAATAACTGCTGTTAAGGTGAGGCATTATAGGGAAAAATACGAAAGTTACATATTTTGTCTTTGATGAATGACTTTGTATACGTATTTCTACGGTTCTTATTGTATATTCTCTTTTAACTTATTATTTATTGTGATTTCTCATATTGGTAAAGCATAATTTTATGGAAAAATATAGTAGTTATGTACTGTTTAAACTTTACAAAAATGTGGTAGGTTAAGGTTTGATAATCTAATACCTATCTAATGGGGTAAATTGCAAGTCAAAATAATAAAGAATTCTTAAGATTACTTTTCTTAGCAAAGAAATGAATATAGATGAAAGTTAGTAAGAGATTATTGAAGGTATTTAAAACTACCATACCTTCCAGAAGTTTGGTGTCAGTACGAGTGGTTAGTTAATTAGCACAAGCATAACCTGCTAAGGTAGATTTAAATGATAATACGACAAATGATCACGGTTATTTTAAATCCCGCGTTTTAAAAAAATTAATTCACATTTGTTTATTTTATACCAAAAAACAAATACCATTTTGTCACTAGTGACTACTTTTCAATAAAATTTCAGCCGTTCTAATGAGACGTAACTAATAGAGTTCAATCGTGTAGTATGTCAGTATGGTACTCACTGCAGATAATGGCAGATGATTGTGAAATATGGTAGATTAATTGAAATTGAACATAAGTACCATTTGATGGTGAATCAGTGGTCTAGAGGTTAGGGATTCATGCACAAAACCGAAGAGCCTGTTTGATTCCTGATTAAAAGGTCAAGGATGCGCACTGTCGAGGAGTTTTGTACCAAGACGAAACGACCGTACAGTGCCTTCAGGTTTTCTCTGATTTTCTAACTTAATTAGCTTCAATAAAATTGGGTTATCTTCATAACCCATTACTAAAAAATAAACATACAACTTATGTGTGAAACAATCAGAACTAGATAATTAACAAAAGAAATTTGGAAGAAACCAGTAGAAAACGAAAGTAATCACTTCTACTCACCTTCCTCTTTCATCTTCCGTTTCAGAATTAACATTTGGATGATGAGCATTTTGTTTTACTGCACCAAAGAATCGTGCCAATATACTAGCAGATTTCTAGTTTCAATGAAAATTTAAATGATATTATACTTTATGTCCTTTAGTCAATATGAAAAGACAATAGAACTAATAAACGATATTTTATAATAATGTTTTAAGATTCTTCTTTATGAATGTTCATTCCATTATTCAGTAATGAATGATAGTTATTAGACTATTTGTGATTGTTTTAAAAGCCTTTAACTATTCATATAAAAGGAACAATTAGTCACGAAAGATTATAAATGATCATATTCATATATTAGTGGAGCTAGAAACTTTTAATTGAAAGACTATTGTTTTAAATATCATCATTAAATGGGATTCTTTCAAAGGTTTCAGATAATCACTGATAAATAAAAATGACTGTCGACAAGAAAACTATTTTACTTGGTACTTTTAAGATTGATTTTTTCTGATGAAAATGTCAGAAAAACAAACGGGATAACTTGAGAAACTTATTCAGAAAGAGAAAGTGATTTAATTGGTATAGATCAAACAGCGACAGTAATTCAAAGACACGCATTGATGAATGGAAAAACACAATGGATAAAATTATCACTTTGGACTACATTATACAAATGGAATGTTGATTTGATTGTTACACTGGACCACTTGTTCTTTTCAAATACAAAACTATTGAAAACCATTTTGTCTATCTCTTTTTAGTTATTTAACCAAATTAATTACTCAGATTGACTGTCTGAAGTACCCATATTCAGTTATAAGCTAATCACTAAGATGTTAGACATATTATTTTCTCTTGTCTGAGAAATGACAACCGGTTTATTAAAAACTTATTTACCACCGGTTGCCATTAAAATAATAGTAGCCTAAAGTGTTTTTAGTTAGTGGTAAATACTGGGGAATCAGCGCTGAAAACCGGTTTAATGCGATCTATCTTTAGAAATTCGCAAATCCAACAAACAGAATACAGGGATTATTGCAATGTTGTATAAGTCTTTACTCTAAATATATATTCCATCTTAATTGGACTGATTATCTTTATTTTTATTATGAGTGAAAGAAGATTGTTTGAATATAATTGATTTAATAAATAAGGCTTATATTATAGGAAAATAGATTAAGAAACGATGTTAGTTATAGCTAACTATTATGGTATCTGATTTAAAATTTGACTAAGTCACAACAGCTACGATTATTATTCAAAATCAAAAACCAAGTTTGAAAATACCAACTGAATCATTAGAACAAACCTAAATTCATGATGACATCAGCTTTTAACGCAGCTATCGCCACGAACCATTAAGCAAGAAACAGAAAACCAAGACGATGTTTCTGTCATCTTCATACACTAGTTTGGCTATTACTAACTGAAGAAACTCATTCACCTCAGGTTTATTGTTTAGGAAATATGAATCTGTTCTTATCAACCTGCTCTAATAGGAATCTTATCACTAACATCTTCTTAAGGTGACCCAATAGATACAATCACTTAAGTATATTTGATCAACCACAAATATTACGCAAATTAATTAATTGGTCATATCAGAGAAATAAAGACGATTAAATCAGATCATTCAATGAAATTAGTTAAAGTGAGCCAAGTTAGCCTAAAGCAACAAAATTAGCACTTAACTACAAATTGGTAGATGAAAAAAATTTGGGATGTATCTGGTACTATTATTCACTTAGGAACGTATTATCTATCTTTGAAAAAGAATGGTATTCTTAAGTTCAAGAAATTAAGTTTGACTGCGAATTTCTAGTAGATCATAACAACAGACTAAACTACTGTCTATAGACATGTCTTAATATATCTCATCGCCTAATCAGTGTTAATAACAGGCAAAAGATTTGCTTAGTTAACCCCCTTTACAATGCTCCATTCCTATATATTGATAAAACATATACTAAGCTATTGGTATATACTCAGTTGGTCTTCTATCTTTAAGAATACTTTAAACACAACCAATCTCTAAATTATGATTAATGTCAATGTTAGTCTAATTAGGAAATTTCAATTTAAGATTGGTTCGCATCCCATCTTTCGTGTTTTAAAATAAGGTGGACTATTCATAGTCAATATATAACACCTGTAGCTCAAAGGTTGAGTTGCAATCTATACCTTTATATCATTCAGAATAAAAAATATATTTTTACAAGGAATATAAATGGAAACTTACAGAAGTTCCACCTTTACCTTGAAAGGCTCGTGTTGCTCTCCAATTTTCAATCATAAGATAACTTGCATATATTTTCCCAACAGTCATTTTGTGATAGACAAGCTCTGTAATGTACGGATAATTTTTATAAGATTATGAATAGTAAAATTCTTATCGATAATTATAATAATAAAAAAATATTTTCATAACATTCTTATGAGTAAAAATTGAGATTTTGAAACTGACGAAATTCGTTTAACTTAGGAGCGAGACTAAAATTTATGGACGAACCATTCAGGTTCAACATAATAGATCATAAATTTTAGCGCGAAATTCATTCACTCATTTTGTAACGGTATTAAAAATCATTACATATAACGTTACTAATGTAAGTTTGTTTTCCTTATTGCAGGGCAACAAAGAGTGAACGTACTAGAAGAAGAGGAACAAGCCTCAAGCAAGCTGAACCTGCAGAACATGAATAAACCCACTTTCTAATAAGCTTCCCTTTTTGTACTCGAACCACGTCTTTCAATTTTAAAACATATCTCTGTTGGCCAGTATGCCGTGTTCTTACTTCAGTGGCATTTACCGGTCCTGACTGTTGTGTTGCGTTTCAGATCACTCCTGCTTGCAAGTAAACGCTAATAGTACGTGCTACAATTTGGTTAAATATCGTTTTGGCATCATATTTGATGTCAGTTCGTGATAAATATTTGATCTAATTTTTAACCCTAATGTTAAACTGTAAATACTAATTCTAACTTCACACACTAACCTATAACCTTCATTTAACTCTAGCAAGTAGGTGTGCATTCCAAACTCATTATAGCGTTAATTCTTGTTCGAAAATTGTAGTCTCATTCAAAATCCTTAATTTTAATTCAATGGTAAACTAAACTATTTGTATCTGATTACATTCATAATCAGACCAGATTTAAAATAAAAAACCAACAACAAGGGAAATTCGCTCACAATAATATATAATCATTCAATGTTGCAAAACGGTGAATATAACTAAAATGGTTGATGGCTGGCAGTGGAATCTAGGACGCACGTTTTATTCTGCCTGGGACTCGTCAGCCGGATGTACCTGCATCCCAGAGTTGATGTTCACTACAACAGCAAGTAAATCCGGCTGACGAGTCTCAAGTAGGACGAAACGCGCGTTTTGGATTCTACGGTTTTCCACCATCCGTCTCTGCTTATAATGCTTGTGACTTATGGAAATGTCGAGATAAAACGCACAGGACGTACATAAGCCAATAAGAGACCGATCAATTACAGTCCTAAACAACAACAGAAAGATTCAAACAATCAGTACCAAGTGAATATAATATAATTACTTCATGATTATACTTTCACGTATACAGTTGAACTTTTCATTACCTGAATCTGGAGGTACAAGCAAATTAAGCATTTTCTTTCCATGAACAGGCCATAATTTACAAATAGTTTCTTTTAATTCCATATCACGTTGATCCATTATTTCAGTTGGTCCCGTTTTAATGCCTAATGATTCACGTATTAAAGCTAATAGCGTAGTTGTGAAATTAACACAACCATTTTCATCTACTGGCATATTCATTCGAATTAATTTCTATAAAAATAGAATAAATGGAAAGTTATAAATAAGTTTTGTATGGTTTCGGTGTATAGAGATAGTTTGTTATGACGTATTCGTCACTGATTGATCTCATACTGATACTATTTTAAAAACTTATTTTAACCTTAAACCCATGTTAATTCATCAGTCAGTCAGTAACAACGTAGAACTTCGTACGTACGTACATCAGTTCGAGTTGCCGTACCACATTAGCACAGAGATGCAGTCATCGATTCAAATCCCGTAGTGATAGAGGTATTAAGAGTATAAGCAGTAATCGGGAAGATTAGTGTTTGGAGATGTTATTTAAAGAGTATAATACAGTGAAATAAATTTGGAAAGAGAAAAAAGAAAGGGACATGAAGAATTCAGGAGATTAGAGTCTGGGAGAACATAAAGAGTGGATGCACCTGCATCATTGCACACGATTTTGAGTCATGTCATTCAAGGTCTCTAACCATCGATTGCTATCATCTCGCGGATCCCAACCAGGTAATCTACACCTACCAATATGACTCAGTCCGCTTGTCCGTGACCTCATGGATTTGTGCCATGTTTTGGTCTGGCTGCTCCATTTTAATTTGTGATGAATGTTATTCATAAATTAGGCTAGTCTGCATAAGATCTCTTAATAAAAATAGTAAAGATTATGTTCATTTATATGATGAAAAACAATTATTAGTCGATGTGATCTTTATTATGTAATCTGTTTTGGTAAGATAGATTACTCTGAAATTTAGATTTTGCAAATACTATAGTGGTCTTACTTTACGTTTAAATAAGCGGATTAAATTAAATTCTATATTGAAATCTTACTAACCTTTAATGTTATCTAAAAAGCTTTAGCTGTATTGCGAAACTTGTTGAAAAATACTTGATTTTCTCAAAAAACACCTCATTTTATATGTTTAGTTGGATGGATTTTTAAGGAAAACATAAACTTTAATGATTCTACTTGTAAAACATCACTTAAGATGTAATAAGTCTTCTAACTGAACGCTAAATTTGGTTTCTAAGTTCGTTTATCAACCCCCAGGCGACTTGAACACGAGAGAAAAAGCGCGCAATACGGAAGAAACGCTTTACTCCAAGGGTTCGTTTATGTACAGAAAATCTAGGGTTTTTGATAGTATTTTAGATATCTTTGGGTTCCTGGTAAATAATGGAACGCTACTAAATATAGTAGCAGTATAGTTAATCATCCAGTTAGAAACTCGACGTGTGACTTTTCACTTTCCAGATGTTTCTGACAAGACGTCTAGTGAATGCTGATTGGATAAGTTTCTTCTCAGCATTTTAAGGGCCTTTTTTAGTTTTCTTTTGAAGAGTTTTCTAGATTTCTCCAACAAAATGAACTAAGAAATCAAAGGTGATCTAATATCTCATGCACTTTGAAATTGACTGTCAAGTGCAATTAGATTAACAACATTCTCTCTTAGAGATAAAATACAGTTTTTTAAATGTATGTCCTGTTGCTTTTATGTAATTTTGTGCTTAAATCTATCTTCGTTGATGAAAGATACGTTAATTTTAGCTAACATCTACTTTTTACATACATACAGCTTACTGTTACAGTGTTCAAAGGAATACGACTAACAATTTGACAATTGAACATCTAAATTGAATACTGCTTTGAAGATTGTTTATTAAAACTAAATAGCTTATTAAAGTAATCTTAGATGATAATCAAATATATCATTATATAAAATATTCCAAATGGAAGTTATTCATATAAAGAGTAAATAAGTATGGAATAAACACGAATTTCCGGATCTAAACTTTAGTTAAGATGAATTGCTTACTTTAATAAACAACTCATTATGAATGTACTATGACTGAAAACAAAATGAGCACTTTATTTCAGAAGTTCTTCATATTACGGTTAATAATGGATGAGAGACAAAATGATAAATTACACTACTATTAAATAAAAGAATCAATAAATAAATAAACGAAGGTACTTTCATGAAATCTTCAAAGAGATTTCTATTTTATTGTGATGATTTGAATACTCATAGTTTCACTTTGAAATCTTTAGGTTTATATTCAAGAAACCTTGACAAACTACAGAAGCTATTTTTGTTGATGTTATTTCATTTAATTCAAAGCTTATAAAACTAACATTTATTTTTGTTCCTAGGCTATTCTACAGATCATAATGTGGTGTGTGCTACTTATATTGACATAAGTAGTATATGATGTTAGTCATGAACAGAAGGTCTGGCAGCAGAGAGACAAGAGGATCGAATAGTAAACAATCGAAACAGAATGCGATTTGTATGAAAATGCAAGAACAATGAAGTCTGGGTCATTTTGAGACAATTGATGGACATTTTGCAAATTAAGCATTTACTTTATGATTGTTAGATTGTCCCCACCCGTGTTCTATTCGCTACAATAAGCTTTTTTTATGTATGATTCATTGCCATATCCTTTGTTTTGTTCTAAAGCTGTTGTATAATTTAAACGTAATATTTTGTACTCTATTGTCTATGCTAATCTCCAGTTTTGGACATAATTGTATTTTTTTAATGGTTGAGATCATGAGTCAATTGAAGCTAGACCACCATGGAAAACCTGGAACAAATAAACGGTGGTGTCGTCCTATTGTGGGACTCCTCAGCAGTGTGGATCCACGATCCTGCCTCACGAGATTCATACCCAGGATCTAGTTGTATTTTCCTAATTGTTGTGCGTTGTGCTCTGGTTATTCATCTATTTATTTATGTATCCTTTTACACTAATCTGAAATCGGGAACCAGATCGGAATTGGGAATAAATCGAGTAGTGTTCCAGTTGACTTGTCTTCTCTCATTCGCTTGCTTGTCAGTCGATCAGGTGATAGAATAGTTTTCATCTCTCTACCCCAAGCAGTTGATCTCACTTCGAATTCACACATACAAGCCTCAAGGTTAAGCCAGTCAGCCTATCGCTAAAGGTATTTATCTAGATTAGAAAAGTTATCCTGTGCACAAAAGGACGTAACAAAATATGAATAATCTACAGATTTCAACTACAAACATGGCTGGCTCTTAGCCTATTTAGAGTCATGAATGGAGAATAGAATGTAGATCCAAACTAGAACAACAAATCTTCACTGTTTATAATGTCATTTAGTGATGCTTTTTATGCTTCCAGTTCATATGAAGAACTTAGAATAAATTTATATGTAACCAGAATATGAAAAATACACTTTATTTTAATGGAATTCTAAAATGTTTTGATTATCTCTTTCCCGATTGTGCGAATATGACAATAAGTATTCCGATTTTAGATAAATTTGGACCGAATAATAATGAATCATAACTGTGTATACTCACATGATATTATGAAAAGCATACAACCTAACGTGATGTTAAATACCATAAATCTCAAATTGAGGCACTCTACTTGTTAGGTTATTCGGTGAGACTATAATGTATGGACGACCTTTGTGCGATGCCAGACTGACCTTGGGGGTGTCCACTTTATAACCAGGACCGAATGAGGAATATAAATTAGTGCGGGGGAATTCAAATTATTAATTACTGTTGATGGTTAAGGTTAAGAATCAGATTTACAGTTTTACATCACGAAATCCAAAGTCCGAGACATTTTATCTTATACCTGATTGGTTCATCCATGAATTATAGTCTCTCCGAAAAAATGGGTGAAATTGTTGTTGGGCATGAACTAAACTTTCGCCAATGAAGATGATTAAAAGATCTTTCATCACTAAGTATAAACTTCAAAGATAGGTATCATTGAAACCATTGAAACAAGAAGACAACACAGGCAGACTGTTATTTTCGGCGAGACTATAATTTATAGATGAACCAATCAGATTTAACATATCAGGTCATGGATTTTGGCACGAAATTCATTCACTCATTAGGATAGATGCCATTTTGACATCATCGCTGATATTACTTTGTGATGAAAACATTAAATCTAATTCCTAACTTTAACGTTCAATTGTAAATCCAAATTCTAATTCCTCGTACTAATTTATAACCCTCATTTAACCCCAGTAAGTTGATGCACATTTTCAAGGTCATTTTAACGTTTTTCAAAGGTCGTCCATAAATTATAGTCTCACCATACTTTTAAAGTTTTATGAATAATGATCGTTGTCATGAAAATTAGCTTACATTCAATTGTAATTCTTTCTAAGCTAGGACAAAACTGACATCTAAAAGTTTCGGACATTCAAAAGTGGCCTAACAAATATCGATTCCTCATTTAAATTATGATAATTATCAAAAGCGGTAACAATAACAATGAACAGTGATGAATGTATCTTCACAGTCGAATTTCCATTCATTCAGAAATATAAGTTATTACAGTTATTATTTTCATATTTGATTAAAAAGATAGTTAAGTATCGGCGAGAATAAAATTTATAGATGAACCAACCAGATTCAAGATAAGAGATTGTGGATTTTCGCGCTAAATTCATCCACTCATTTGGCTGAATACCATTTCAGGACCATAGCTGATGTCACTTTGTGATGAAAACATGGAATCTAATTTCTAACTTTAACGTTCAATTGTAAATCCTAATTCATCGTACTAATTTTATAACCCTCATTTAACCTCAGTAAATAGGTATTTATCAGTATAGGGTTATGGAGATTATTACCATGTGCTCACTAGTGACTACCTTCGTGACGGAATTTCCGGAGTTCTAGTGAGAAGCCGTGATCAGTGGAACTAATCCGTATCGGGTAGAAACAGGTATCTGCCTCAGTACAATGGAAGATGGTCGTGCAATTTCACGGATTGGTTGAGGTTAGACATTAACACCTTTGGATGCCTACTCAGTGGTCCATTAGGTTAAACGTTCGTGCGCGAGACTAAAAGCCCTGGGTTTGAATCCCACTAGTGGGATCGTGGGAGCGCACTGCTAAGGAGTCCCACCATAGGACGAAATAGCCGTTTGGTGCTTCCAGTATTTCAATGGTGATCTAACACCAGTCTTTTCATGATCTGAATCAAATATAGGTATTTGTCTAAAATACAAATATATGATTTACATTTATATCTAAACATTAGTTTTTTTCAATACTCAGATTAACCATCAAAGTATATGAAACTATCCGACAGACTGTAAAATAGTTTTCTTTGTATTTTATTTAAAGTATTTCATTAAATCATAATCACCGCATAAATTAATTTTGTCAGTAGTGAATGAAGTTGAAAAGAATAAAGAATTTAACGGAAAACAATTTGTCTTCCTAAATTTTGAATAGAAAATAAAACGATTACTTTTCAAACCTAAATTTTATGCCTTAATACCTTAATTACTTGTAAATGTTTTTACAACTGTTATGTTGTTTTTGAGTTACTTTGTCTGGTTAGCGTTTTTTTAGCGTGTTAGTTTTCTAAGGGATTAGGTCGCTAACCCCATGCCCAACTCTTCTTCTTTATCCGGGCTTGGGACCAGCAGTAGCCCAACAAGGGCTATAAGCAAGATTCTACGATACAATACCGCATGCACCAATCGAATTACACTTGACGGAGAAGCTTTGGAAGATGCAAAAACCTTTACATATCTGGGCAGCATCATTGATGAACACGGTGGATCTGATGTAGATGTGAAGAGGAGCCTTAAATTAGTTTATTCTGTTCACCCTGTTCTCTCAGTTTTAATTGTTTTTATTTATCTGTGTATTTACGGTGTCTCCTTTGTTTTATTACCCTTTGGAAAAGCTGTTGATTAACCTTTTTGGGTAATAGATTGATAGATTGGTTCTAAGTCAGCGTATCTACAGATTGCTGATTAATCTAACTGCCATGCTTCCAAAATGTCTCTGACAATCTTAAATAACCGAACGTCTTCTCTGTCCAATCCATGTCCGTTGTTACTTAATTCATTTATATAAGAAACAGCACATCGTTTAGTTTCCCTGATAGTTCGCGTTTTTGTGTGTATACGTTTCAAGAAAGCACAGAATTTGTGTAGTATTTATCTTCATCATCTAAAACTTACGTTGTAGATGATATTGCATTCGTCATTTTTCACAGTTATAAATTTTGGCGTACATAAAATGGAATGAAGTGACATCGTTAGTTTATGGAATTTCGGTCGTGATTTTTGAGATATTTTTCATAAAATGGAGTATTTGTCCGGCTAATGAAGTAAATGAGCAGATCACTTCTACATGAAGTACTCCCTGAAGTTGTGCAGAACGACAATTAAAGCTATGTAATTAAAGTATCATAATTATCAGAAAGGGGTTTTTTGGAGATTGTAGTAATTTCATAGTTGATTTCATGAGTCAATTAAAGCTAGACCACCATGGTAAACCTGGAAGATCTGGGCGGCCGCTTCGTGCTAGTGTGGGACTCCTTAGTATTGTAATTCCACGATCACATTCACGGGATTCGGTTTCGAAACCTTCGGTCTCGCGCGCAATCGCCTAACACCTAGACCAGTGAGCCAGCATCCAACGATGTTATTGCCTAACTTCATAGTTGGACGAAACGGCCGTCCAGTGCTTCCAGGTTTTCCTTGTGGTCTAGCTTTAATTGACTCATGAAATCAACTTTTAAATTAACATGCTTAAAGAACTCAATAACGTTATAAATATCCACCTGAGCCGGAAGTTTTGTTCATCATATCGAAGATTAGAAGTGTACTGACAGTAAAAAGATTAATTATAAGTGCTTGAATAAATAATCTAATGGTGGAACTAGGTCAAGATTTAGGAAAATAAACTTATCGAAATAATAATCAGGAAAATAAAGGAATAAGAAGGCTATGTTTGAATAGTCAGTTTAAAGTAGATAACTAATGGAGAAGAAATACGAAAGCATAGAGTGTTATGTTAAATTTCAATACATTGGTCAGTTCACAAAAACGTGTACAAGCGAATATGGGTGATCAATCTACATGGTTAAGAGTGATGACAGGTATACCAAAATTGCATCAAATTCAGTCATAATCATAAGCACGATCTGCCTTATTAATTTCTAATCAATTTATCACGTATTTGTGAATATATCTCCTAGTTCAACCTATATAAGATCATATCGTGTAAAGATCTGAAAATTTAATACAGTAATCATCAACATTTTAGTTAGATTAAGAAATTCAGCTCGTTGCTTTTAAAGCATTTAGATCATTAAGTTTGGTTTGAATTTTTATTTCTTCATCAAGTTAATATTACCATTTTGAAGTTCGTCTGAATTCGATCCCTTGATGTTAATTCTATATTTAAGTTCTTCATTTTGAATGTATTGGTGATAGCTGGAGGCCAATATAACTATTCATCTCGGAGTAGAATGCTGAAGGATTTCAAATAATGATGAAGTAACTGTTCCAAGTTCCTTAGTTTTCCATAGTTTTACTATCGCCTCCCTGACTAATTTAAATCTATACTAGACAGAACATCATCATGAGGATTGATATATAGCAACAAAATTTTAAAACAGAACATGTTTCTTTGTGCAAGTCAACCAAATTTTGTTAAAACATTCAAATCAGTTAAAATAAAGTGAGATATTAAATAATACTAGATGCACTCATATTCCAAGCTCATTTTATCAATCATAATGATACCATAGTAAAGGCATCTAGATCACTATAATAATATATGATCTCCCAAAAACATTCTCTACATTCCTCTGAAAATGCATTCAATGTTGTAGCACCTGTAAGTGATACTATAGGAACTTTAAATGTTTAGCCATTATTATTAGTGAATTCCGTAAGTAAAACCACCTACCTACTGTCACGTTACATTAACACTCGCCCTAGAAACCTTAACTAATTTGAATAATAACTAATATCAACAGTATGTCACATGACACATGAATTATGGTAGACCTGATTAACATATTTTGGTAATTATTGCTTTGTTGTTCCATGCTCTCTGTTTTCGTTTTACTTTCTCTAATTGTAGATAATTATCATTAATTCATTCTGATACAGGAAATGATCTTAAATACACCGTTCATAAATCAACAGGTTTATCACTGAAGAAAAATTAAAAGTTACCGGCTGATACACTGGATCGCTGTAATACATGTACTACCTAACCAATTACTGAACTAGTATACTTAAAACAATCTTATATCACATGTGTGTTCTCTTCATCTAATGTTACTATTTATATCAAATTGATCATGCCTGTAAACTGGAGTGAATTCTGTTATTATTATCTTCAGAATATATATATATATATATATATATATATATATATATATATATATATATATATAATTAGCTTTATAGTGTATTCAACTTGTATTTTATTATATATAATAATAATATAATGATGCGCACTGCTAAGGAGTCCCACATTAGGACGAAACGACTGTCCAGTGCTTCCAGGTTTCCAATGGTGGTCTAACATCATTCGGTTCATGATCTCAATCAAAAACTTAATAATCTCCACAACTTCTATACTGAAAAAAAAATCTTCATACAGAATATTTTATTTTGTCACCAAGACACGTAAATACTCCATATATACTATTTATTTATTTGACAGATTTATAGTGAAAAGTTTTCATTGATACAGTCCAAGCATGATGATAACATAATCTACTATTTTGGGATAGGATAGTTGTCAAGATATTTATCAACAAAAGTAATCTATAAAACGAAAAAAAATTTCCTCTCCGAAACAAAATAAAAAAGTTCAACCTTTTTGTTTGTTTGAAATTATCACTGATAAAAACATTTGATAAAAGAAACAAATCAAATTTCACTGATTGAAATCATGAATGAATTGAAGCTAGACCACCATGGAAAACCTGGAAGCACTGGACAGCCGTTACGTCCTAGTATGGGACTCCTCTGTAGTGCGCATCCACGATCCCGCACCCCACGAGATTCGAACCCATGACCTATCAGTCTCACGCCAGGCGCTTAATCATGGAGTCCCATACTAGAACGTAAACGGCCGTCCAGTGCTTTCAGGTTTCCGATGGTGGTCTAGCTTCAATTCATTCATGATTTCAATCAGTGAAATTTCTAAAATCTCCACAAAACCCCTTCTGACAAATTTAATTATTCATTTAAATCAGTATTTACAATTATAAGTACTTTATCTATTATTATATGCAGATATATAGATATTCTATTTAAGATAGGAATTGTAACTGAACTGACATTTTTTCCTTCACAAAAATCAAAACAAAAACAGAACCTTTTGATTAATAGCTAATATTGTATTACGTCAGTAAAAGAGGAAACTATTCCCTCCACCCTCCCCACATTCTCTCTCTCGCTCTCACTCGTTAATCATTCAGATAGTTTTCACGACAAATTGTATTAGATATATTTTTATTTATTTTTTTTCTGATTTAATCATGTGAATATGTTTGATTTGTTTCTATGCCCAATTGGATTTAACAAATTTAAATGATTGGGAAGTAGTTACTTGAATTATTGTTTCAATCGTTTGTTTTCATAAAGCTACTTTTATATAAATCTATGTTTATATTTATATATTATGAAAGTTTATGATGGTATATTTTGATTTAGTTAAAAGTTGAATATAAACTTCAACAAGGAATAAGAAAAAAGAAATAGAAATACACAAATGTCAAACTTTAACTGAACGTATAATGTTTCCCCATTTGATATTTCTGATGTATATAAGTCCAAGTTTTATTGTTTTGTTTTAATAAACAAACAAAAAAAAACACAAGGTAAACAAACTAAGAATAAACATAATGATAAGAAACTTACTCGATAAGCTAAACGATATGGACAATTTTTACCAAATCCAACTGGTGGTTCCATGTTTCTAAGCATTTCATATACATCACGATGATGAATCAGACCTCTATGAAATATAATATCCAATTCAAATAAAAATAAAGATTTATAAGTTCTGTATACAGAAATTAAATTGGAGCTATATAAAGATAATAACTAATAGATTTTGATTTTAAGTAGTTGGAAATAGTCAGTATTAAGTTAGTTGCTAATTGTAATCTGTTTTTATTATGTTCATGGAATTCAAACTTATACATTTACATATCATCAGACTACTAATGACTGATGGTGTTTTTTCAAGCATCATTGGTAATCTGTCTTCAGTCAATTATGTAACTATTTCTACTATGCATAATGTTACACATCATATTCTTTCTTCATGGTTAAATGATTCCATGATTGGCGTTTCCTATCTTTATTATTAGTTGAATATATATAGACTGATTATTCTGTGGAAAATAAAACGAATCAGTCCACGTACTATTTTCGTATAAAAGTATACAGTAATGACAATGCATAATTTAGAGTTATTCTATCATTTTTCTGTTAATGTCGATGAATATAAATCTAGATAATGAATTTGGATTAATTTTTAAATAATTTTTTTCTAAACCTTCAATTATTACAGAACATACATTGTGTACTGATCAACTACTGAAATATTCTTAGTGAGTAGTAAGTTTAATTGTTCCCTTTACGAACTAAAACGATACGGTGTTTATATATATATTGAATAAATTACATTAGAAGGTAGAATTATACAGATTTCATTTCAATTATTCATGTTATTTCATATCTCACTCCATTAATTTATATAAAGAGACATAATTGTAATTACTATTAGACCTATTCATGTACCTGCTTTGTTTATCTATGTAAATATGGAACAGAATATTTCATAATCTATGTACGTGTACATGAAGAACTATCTTACAATTTAGATGAATAAATACAAACTTTTTTATGCTGTTTTAATGCATTTTTATGCAGATAAGTAAAATACAATGGTTCAATATGACTATCTCTTATTAATCCTTTGATAAAGTAATCTTTCTTATATACATATATGAGTACCATTGAATTAACTATTTCTATGAATTTGGTATTCATCTTGTTGTGCTAATGAAGTATGGCAACTTAGATCGATGCATATATGTGCCTGGTCCTACATTGTATCTGACTGACTGACTGAATCCATTGATAACGCTACTGTATATTATTTTCCCTCATCCATTTACTGATATATATATATATATATATATATATATATATATATATATATATATATATCTGTCACTCTACTAAACGTACTATTTGTTTGTGGAACAGCAAAGGACTTATCTTATAAAGTTTTATTATGGTATTTCGGCATCGTCATGTCTAAAATATTGGACTGGGAATAAACTCAGCGTTATCAAGTCATCAAAGCGTATCGTATTCAGTAATTACGGTTATGTTTTTGTTTATCCAGTTACTCAGTTGTATATGTTTTGGAGTACTTTTTATCACTGAATTAAAAGTAGATATGAACTTTGCTAATTTTCAATTTTTCTTTCATCATGACTGTGTGCAATACTTAACTTGTCCGTAGCATAATGGAGTAATATTTGCTTCGTACAAAAATTTACAATTTTCATGTAGACCATCAAAAACGATAGAGAATGAAACATGGCCTTTATCGCGGTTGGTTACCAGGTGCAAGGTCAAAGTTAAAAACGAAATTGAAGTATATCCTCACACTAATATTGCTGTAAGTTTTTTGTAATGCAATCTTACGAACGTAACAGGTCACCAGATGAAATTGAGAATCTTTACTCAATTTAACCACAATTATTTTTTGTATCATTTTTGAAATACCGAAGGTTTCATTCATGATAGGTAATTTTTGCATAAATATTAGTTGTACTACAAATGTTCGGGTAGATAGCTACTGTTTGTGAACTTAAAACTAAACTGAGATTGTTTATGAGCAGACCAAAAACAATACTGATCATCATTTCTTTCACTAAATGATAGAAACTCTTAAATTCAACGACCGTGCTTTGTTAGTACACCAGAACTACGTTTACGATATACAATACGGTTTACTCGCTATCTTTTAAGGATTTGCTACGTTCTGTGAAATAGGCTAAATGATTTGCACTTGTCATTCGTCTTTTTAAATCATTCATCTGTTTGCATAATTCTATAAGAATATCACTTTGATTGAGGTTCTTATTGACAAACGTTTAATCGTATAATCATCTTTACTTAGGCGTTCGTGTGCTAGATCAATAAGTCCTGGGTTCGGATCCCTCGAGGCGGGGTCGTGAATGCGCACTGCTGAGGAGTCCCATGATAGAACGAAACGATTGTTCAGTGCTTCCAGGTTTTCCAAGATGATCTAGCTTCAATTGACTAACGAATTCAACCACTAAATTACTATAATCTCCACAAAACCCCTTCTGATAATAATCATTGTGTGCTCACTAGTGACTGGCTTCAAGAGCTTTATCCTGGAGTTCTAGTGAAAAGCAGTGACCAGTGGAGTTCAGCCGGGTCAGTTGTGAGATACTAACTCACCGATGACAATGGTGGGTGTGTCGCTCAATTTCGTGGATTAGTTGAAGCTAGACATTGACACCGTTGGATGCCGACTCAGTGATCCAGTGGTTAAGTGCTCGCGTGCAAGACTGGTAGGTCCTGTGTTCGAATCCGGGGAGGCGGGGTCGTGGATGCTCATTGCTGAGTAGTCCAACAATAGGACGTAATGGCGTGATAGTAACTATTGGGGTAAAAAGTTAATTAAGTAATCTAAAGAATATCACTAGGATTCCTGAAGTTAAAACTCATCTGAAACCACAATTTGTAATATCATTAAAAAAAAATTTTTTAAAGTATGTTTATATAATTGAGTTGTAGATTTTCTTGATTCCGAATATAATATACATGAAAAAATGTAGATCATTTTGTAAACATGCTGAACATTTTTTTATTAAGACAATACGTATTTGATGATAGTTGCCAAGGTAATTCGTTTTAAAAATACCGACAACTTTAATCTATTTACATATATTCAACTTACGTAGCACCTGGATCATATTCAGCCCAAACACGAACAAATTCATCTAAATGATGTGGACCCAATATAGAAGAATCTCTAGTTAAATAATCAAAATTATCCATAATAACAGCTACAAATAAATTTAACATGATAAATGAGCATAAAAAATTAAATGTTGAAAAATATAAATATGTATATGAGCTTCCACATGATTCACCAGAACCTTCACATTCTTTACCAGCTGCACAATCAAGCATAATTTCTTGCCAATTTTCACCAGTTGCACATCTATGAATAAATTGAATAAATTAAGAATAAGTATACATTAATTGATAGTTTAATATTACTGCAAAACATTTGTAAAAGCTAAACTACACTTTTTGGTAGAGTTTTGTTCTCTGAGCTGGATGGTTTGGTCGTGGAGCTTTCATCGTTCTTCTGAACGACATCATCAGCACAAACTTCAGGTAGAAGTGAAGTGTTCGAATTTTTCCATATGTGTTTCACAGCTTGTTCTTTGCACCTTGATGTTGATTGGTTCTTATTGACCTTAAATTTGTCATTATTTACTTATTTGTTTTGCTTATGTCTCCCATTGGTTTGATTTTCGTTACTATATTTGTGCATGATTTTTCTGATTGGTTGGTAAATTGGATTGATTTCAATATGCTTGTTGATTGCTGATTGCCTGTGTGCCAGGCTTCTAAAAATTCCCTGGTGTTTTTGGAGTTTCCTCTGTCTGTCCTCTGTCCAGCTCAGAGAACAAAACTCCACCAAAATCATCCACCTGAGCTACAAATCTTCTCCACTAAACTACACTTTTATGAATGATTCTTAATAAAGCTTAGAGATTAATATTATTAGTTTGATAGCTAAGGTGACTAAATTAGACTTGATTTGATAGTAGATAATCAACTTACAGAACTAATTATATCTTATTCAAATGAAGTCATTTTCTGGATAAATTAAATAAAGTAATGGAATTGTTTTATTCAAACAATTTTTTTATTACAAATCTTAGGTATGTACTTATTTAGACATGCATGACTTAATCTCTGAGACAAGCATATGACTACTGGAAGGATCAACCAGTTTATTCATAGTTGTATAATATACCCTTGTGGGCCAGGGTAATTTTATATTGGTTTTCAGGAGAACCAGACACCATCCAGACTTTCACGTAACAAGCCAAACAGTACAACTCAATCCCATTTAACAAGATAGCCAGACACTGCCCATGCTTAAATTTTATAACCCGAGCAGTACAACTTAATCCCGGAGAACCAAACACTGTATAAGCTTTAATGCTACAATATGAATAGTACAGCTCAATCCTGTGGCGCAACCACACAGGTATTAAGCACCCTGATGGACCATTTGCACAATTCATACATACATTCACGTCACATGTATAGTTATTCCAATCAATGATCGCGTGAATCAATTATGCACAGCACGAACAAGTCAAAGTTGACCTATTCCGCTTACATAACAGTCAAGCTCATTAATGTTAGCAATGGCGACATGCCTTATGATGTCCCTATGACAGTGGCCCTTGAGAATAGTGAAAAGAAACCACCAGTATAAATGAAATCGGTTGACCAAAAAACCAAATTTGTGCATGAACAGTCAGTCAAACTTGTCAAAGTAATACCTAACAATCCACAATATCAATGACGAACCTCCAGCCTCACATGAGACCTTCAGCTCTACATAGCCATATAGCTTATACTGCATACAACACATATGTAGGGTAGTAAACGAAATAGCCCAGCCTGAAGCGTTAGGGATTAAATAACTTTTAAAACCCATTGTTTGGTGTCGGAATACTATTACTAGACCATCAAGATCATTTTCAGACCCTGAGATAGGGGTAGTATCCCCTTTGTTAAATATCGTCATCTCTTAACTTCTAAGACATTTATGACTTCTTTCTTTTTATAAATCCTAGAGATATACATAAGTACAAAATTTTAATGAATATGCAAGTACTTGAAGAAACTTTACAATATTAAAATGATTATCCCCATTAATGAGTCCTCTACTAAACTCTTTTTCGGAAATAATTGAACATTTCCTATATATTCTAAATCCATTCGTTTGTCAGTATATATATATATATATAAGGTTTTTAGTAATGTTTGTATGTAGAAGGCATAAACAATTGTCAGGTAATATCCGGTATTTATTAATACTCTAACAAATGTCGATTTATGATTAATACCATCTGAAAGTTTAAAACTAACCGGCATAAAAAACTCTCGGCAATTTCCTATTCCTTATAGTTTCAATATAAACAGATTATTTTATAATCTACAAACCTTTTCTACTAAATTGTAACTAGTTTAATATGATGAAGGAAGTCCATTTCGCTTGTCGATAGCAAGGAAAGAGTAATTAATTTATTTGTATTCAATGCTAATTCTATCAAATACTGTTGACACAGATGTTCTTTTTTTTTAAAAAAAAACAATGTTTACTGTTCTTCATTTCAAAACATCACCTGAAGTTCTTCTAGGGTTATTGGACTTCCCAAAACCGGATGAATGTGGAGGATAGGGGTAGTAGGCATGAAGTGTAAAAAACCTCGCTAACTAAATGCTAAAAACTCTGTTCTTTTAAAGGTTCATAATGAAGTTGAAAAAAAAGAGTGCTTCATTTTATTCAAGAAATATTTCAGATGATCTCAATATACAGAAACAAGTTTTAAAACATTTCCACATAAATAAGGGCAAATAAAGCAGAGAAATATGTATATTTATATAGTTTATCACCACTGTTCTGGATTAAGCTATAACAAACACGAAGGTTAAAACAGATACGAATCAAATGGTGACATTTTGGATAATCAATAACAAAATAATTGATAGATGAGATGGATATAATGATTGTTATTCAGATAGTACTAGTTATTGAAACGAATGAATTGAGATACACATTTATAACATTCGTATATTACGTAATACATTATAACAAAGGACAAAAGTTTGATATGAAGACGAATCTTACTAATAGTCAAATAAACTTAAAACAGGATACTACAGCTATGCAACAAAAAGATGTGGATAACATTTTATTGAGAAAGAAATATTATCAGAAGGGGGGTTTTGGAAATTTTAGTAATTTAATAATTGAATTCATAAATCCCATACTAGGACAAAACGGCTGTCCAGTGCATACAGGTTTTCCAAGATGGTCTAGCTTTAATTGACCAGTGAATTCAACTATTAAATTACTAAAATTCCCACAAAACCCCCTTCTGCTAATAATCACCATGTGCTTACTAGTAACTGGCCTCAACAGTTATTTCATGGAGATCTAGTGAGAAGCAGTGACTAGTGGAGCCTAACCTTATCTGTTGTGAGATAGTAACTCACTGAAGACAATGGTGGGCGGTGGCAGGATGTCGTGGATCGATTGAAGTTAGACATTTACGCCGTTAGATGTCACCTTAGTGGTCTAGAGGTTAAGCGCTCGCTCGCGGGACCGATAGGCCCTGGGTTCAAATCCCGCGGGGAGGGATCGTGGATGCGCACTGATGATCAGTCCCATACTAGAAAGAAATATGCTGACAATTTATAGAAATTTCAAATCATAGCACACACAAATCTTAAGCGGGAAAGCAATCCGTCTCACAATAAAGAAATGGATTTTTTTATGTGTGTGATTTCAAAACGAATATATTATCATGTTATCATCAAAGTACAAAACTATAGGTCGCGTGTAAAGATTTTGAATATTCACGCAAACAGAGAAATCTAAAACTTCATAAACAAAATAAATAATAACCACAGTCGGAAAAACAAATTTTTCTTTCGGTTTTTATGAAAACGCTTTTGTTTCTTAAACATTGAAAACAAAAAGAAAACATAACAAGTGTCAATACTACTGGTAAATGGAATCTCTTGAGTAGATTAGATTAAAGATAACACTAGAAGAACCAATACAATCATTATCGTTTTATTTACTTGTTGTCAAGTAACTAATAAAATGTAAATTAAATTTGTCTAGAATATTCTCAGTTTTATCATCGAAATGGATAGTAAGAAAAACAGAAATTTCTTTTTATGAGAAAAAAAATGTACTTTTGAGTCTGAAAAAATATTTAATCCTTAGTTTATTTACAAAATATTCATTGTGGTAATGTAGTGTATGCTATTGATATCGATAGATATAAGTAGTATGTATCATCAGTCGACAATGAAATGCCTGATGTCAGAGGGTTAAGAAGATTGGAGAAAAGAGAAAGATTGCTGTGGAAACGAAAAAAAACAGTAAAGTCAGAGATGATTGATTGTCATTTTGCAAATGAAGCATTTAATGTATGGTCTAAAGATTTTACTAAAGGATTCAGTAATTTTGTATTTAAATAAATTTGATTGTTCCCACTTTGGTTCTCGTTCACTGCAGGATGACAATTTTTGAACCTTGAAATTTTTCGTCTAACATAATATTTAACTATTGAATGGAAATAAAATTGTTCAGGTTAAGCAAGATCTATAAATTCTACGATAAGACACAATGGTCATTAAATTACATTGAAGATAACTGATCACTAGTGCTCACTAGTGACTGGCTTCAAGATGATTTCCTGGAGTTCTGGTGAGAAGCAATGAACAGTGGAGTCCAATCCGTATAGGGTAGAGGCATGTATACACCCCACACAATGAATGGAGGGTTGCACAAGATCATGCATTGATTGAAGTAAGGCATTAACCCCGTTGGATTCCGACTTGGTGGTGTACAGAGACCGAAGTTTCTGAGTTCGGGGCCCAATTGCGGGATCATAGATGCACACTGATGAGGAATCCTAAATTATTGCGAAACGGCCGTCCAGATCTTCCAGTTTTTTAATATTCGCCTAACATTAATTGATTCAGTATCTCAATCAAAAAGTTAATAATTTCCCCAACCTCATACGGATAAAACTAATTAATAAGCAAATCAAAATTCCAACAACCTAGAAAATTATGATTTACTATAAGAAGAGAAGAAAACCAGAAAATTTTTTGCAGACCACTAAATATTCAGTTTAATAAAAAACAAAAATTTTCTACTCATTGTTAATCCCACAATTTTAATCTCTGACAAAACAGAAAACACTTTTACTCATTTTTATTGTTTATATGATATTTTAAAAAATTGTTGCTAACCAACTGAAACCTTGTTTATATTTTAATCAATCATCATTGTTGGGTACATATACACATATATGGATATATGTTTTTTTATTTTTAGTAACTTTTACACTTTATTACTTTTGATAAAATATTATGTAATGAAGGAAGAAATCAAGAAGCGCTGGAAGTAGATTGAACACACATTGACGAAAGCACCCAACTACGTCACAAGGCAAGCCCTCATTTAGAATCCCCAAGGTCAAAGGAGAAATGGAAGACCAAAGAGCACATGACTTCAAGAAATGGAGACAAATATGAGAATGAATAACAATTAGATAGAGCCAGAAAAGAATGC